TCTTCTCGCCACCCCTCACACACAATACACTAACATTCATTTCACTACCATACGTGCAGGGATACCAGTCGGAAGTTTAGAGCTTGCCTTAGTTGGGGTGGTACCCCACCTGGTTGGAGAAAACCCAACACCAACTCCCATGGAAAAAACATGCAATAAACATACGGGTCTAATGACCTTAGTAGTTGACCCACCCGGAATCACTAACAATCAACCAATGAATCCAAACACAACCGAATCGCAGACGCTCAACACAGGGCGAATGTGGACATCGTAAGACAGATGCCCCTTGCTCTCCCTGTTGTCCGCTCTTCTTCTTCTTCCTTTTACCCCATTCCTCTCCCGTCGCACGCGCTTTTATCGAAAAAACACGTGAATAATCGACGACGGGGCGCCGCGACGGCGTGCGAAGGGGGCGGAGCGCTTCCGGGAGCGCGGCGCTTCTGAGACGCACGGGGCGGTAGTGGTCTCTGGGGAAAGAGATGCCGAGAGATGGTGCGAAGTCCTCAGCGCAGGAGAACACGAGGCTAGGCCGAAGACGCGAGCCCCGACTGATACGACGGGCACTAAACCTCAACTGGCTGCACTGCATGCGATAGCTCGGTGGAAAGATTGCTGCATTTGCAGCATAGTCCACTGGAGGAACCGAGAGAAGTAGCAACTTTGCATTCGGGAGGACCGGGTTCAATTCCCGTGCCGGCCTTGCTGACCGAGGTTTTAACTCGCTCATCGAAGTGAATGGTTGAGTGGTACTACTGAAAGGCCACGACAGCAAACACGATTTCGCTAGTTGAATTTGTTAACCACGTGAAGTCACGAAGGTGAAACGCATCCCAGACATCGTGGGTTCCTGGTGCGGTGACCGGCTAGGAACCCCAGGATATAACGGCGCCGAGGCCAATTGCTCTTTAAGGGACATATAATGGCTAAATACAAATACTCTGGAGGTTCTGCGATTTGAGTCCCGACGATCGTGGATTGTTGACAGAAGTTAGCTGGGTCGAATTCAGTGGCTGACTGGAGGAGAATTCTAGCAGCCGGCTTCTCTTATCAGTAATTGTCTGTGGTTTCTCCAATACAAGAAGAATAACGTATTAATAAATAATAAATGTCGATAATATGTCAAATTTTTCTTCCTTATGTATGTAGAGTAGGGCAAATCTACGGAAGGAAAAGGAAAGGTATTCAGGTAATGAAAACACTAAGTTCTTTTAATGATTACATAGAGCTGCGACGATTTGCCGCTTTTGATGAAAATTTTTATTATTCAGTTTTTCATCTGGATTACATATATAATTGCCGCCACTCCATATCAAACTTGGTATGGTGAAACAGTTTGTCAAGGTTCTGAAGAAGAATGGAGAGTGGTTTAAGATTATTTCTTCAAAATTTCCTGTTCTTTCAGAGACCAAAATTAAAGAAGGCATCTTTGTTGGGCATCAAATTAGAAATCTAATGGAAGATGAACACTTTGGTACTCTAATGAGGGATGAGCATAGTTCGGATTATGATGACATGCTATCTTTTCATTGGTGCATTCTGGACTTAGCGAACTCGTAATTAAGTATTTATTACGACACATAGATAATACAAATGTATAGTTATTGGATGGAAATGTATAGTTTTCATGTTTATAAAGTATCATCGGTTCTTGACGAAGCTTTTATTCCATCATCAATTCATGACGAAACTCTCTGCTGCAGTGGAGTCTGTTTCTCGAAGTCTCAAAATTGCGCGGATCTTCGGTAACATCCCCGACTTCTCTAAACTGACGGTTGGAAGATCGGATCTACGTCTTCCATTTCCTCCTAACGTAAGGAATTAATATTAAATATAATTCTATGTATATACATTTTATTAATAATTGTAAAATTTATTAAATTCTAAAAACATTTTCAAAATGTTTAAGGTTTTTAAAACATGGATCATTTTTCACTTGTTTTTAAGTCATTTTACAGGTAATTTTCTTCTTATTTCGAAGTAATTTTATAGGTCATTTTTGAAAACAATTTAGATCCTGAGAATAAGAGCCCTGGTGATGAAGAAAGACTGACCTGGTCAGGTTTAAAAACAGTCTCTGTGAATTAATTAGGAAACAAGAAACATCCAGATTTCAAAACTGTAGTGGATGAAATTCTAATTTCTAATGAAGAATTTAGGATTAAACGTGAGCATCCAACTTCATTTTCTCTACAACCACCTTGATTTCTGTCGCGATAATTCGGTGATAATTGAATTTCAGTGAGGTATATGAAGAGAAGTTTCATCAAGACCTGAAAGAAATGGAAAAAGTTATTAGAGCAAATATTAGTAAGGGAAGATGGCACTCTTGCTTCTTAAGGAAATAAAGTGTAGAGTTAAACAGATGGTGACTGAGAAGCCAAAATTTCAGCAAAAGAAAGTGTTAGCAGTGTCTCTGATATTATTAGTACAAATATAACATTATTGCTAATGTAACTGCGTTGTCAATGAGCATGTGTACCGATTTTATACATATTTGTACTTCTTCTTCCTTAAGTAAAATTTTGTATATCTAGTTTTAATTTTTTTATACACTGTGTGTTTCTTGAAATTTTCATAAATCAAAATGTTTTGTTTACCAGACTTTTCTTTGAAATTACAAAACCTTCATGCGTGTTAGAGAAAAATGGATTTCAAATCTATTAAATATTAACTCAAATGAATTCATATCACTAATCAGAATCAAAAAAGCCCAGAATTTGTTCGGAACTCTGTGTTATTTGTGATTGAAATAATGGTATTATTGTCTTCTACGCAATAAATTTCGTTGCTGTACCCCAGGTTTATTTATAGAAAATCAATTTATGAAGACCAGTATAAATAAAATTTTATTCCAGAAATATGAGATACGCTACACGTGAACTGGCATAAAGGACATTTCAATATAATAAAATCATAGAGACAATATCATAGATAACAATATCATAGAGACTCTTCATAAATAAATTCGCCCACTTGTAATGAAAATTCTTATAAAGTAAAAATAAAGTTTTTATTAATATTTTGTGTGAAATACTAGAATTTACTGGAATATTACTTTATCACTTTATTAGACATTTTTATTATGTTCAGACGTTTAATGTGAATAGTTAATATTTTCGTTATTTTTTTATAATTCACATTATGATAATAGTGTTTCGTAAGCTATGAACTATGAACAAAACTCTCTTCAACAGCAAGTGAAGTAAACAACTGTCGTCGGAACAAGCACGACATGTGTCGAAAGGCAGTCGAGAGGGAGCTGGTGATGGAACGTGGGCTTTGTAGCGACCGTCCCACCGAACGCAGTTCCCCCGCGGTTAAAAGGTTCCCGATGCGTTCGGGAGCTTCAGTATTTTCAAAACAGAGCGGCTGAACCGAGATACACTCACCTAAGGACAGTTGGAGAGCAGCCTTTTATTCCAGAGTCACGATTCAACCTATCCGAAAGCTTCGACGTCTCAATTCAAGAAGCACTTTGATGTGTTTCCGTAGAGAATGAGAGAGAGAGAAGAGGATGAGCTCTGTTTGGTTCTGCGAAAGAAACAAGAGTTGTAGGGGGAAAAGACGTAAAATCGATTTTGTGGCGGATAGTTCTTCCTGTTTTGCAACATCCTAGATTCTTAATTAATAATATTAATTGTTTCAAATTACACTCAAGTATAAGTGAAGTTCTATATTGCGGTATCAGTCCTCACCCGTATTAATATCTCTGGACTGGATGGATTATTTACACGCAAACGTAATTACAAGCGATCGATCGAGGTTTCCGGGCACGTCAACTGCTCTGGCCATTATCTCCGTCAATGTTGTACGTATTTTAATACCATAAGATGGAGGTGTTCCACCCTCGCTGGATGATTCCCTCTGGGTCGGCTTTTTATTTATTTATTTATTTACTTATTTATTTATTTATTTATTTATTTATTTATTTATTTATTTATTTATTTAATTTATTTATTTACGTTAAAACAAGTTAAAAACTGTGTGGGTCGTACAATAGGGAAAAGTTAATTTGAATTTACATTTATGTCCAGAAGCAAAACAAGGGGCCATCCTAGCATTTGCTCGAGGATCAGGGAAACTGGACGAAAATCTGATCGAGATGGCGAGTCATTGACCCAGACGTTGAAGTACAATACTTGTTACAGGTTCTTTACAATTATACAATCCAAATGGTAAATAATGCATTAAATGTCATTGTTAAAATTGATATTATCTTCCTTTTGGATGTTCGGTGTGGTCTCTTATTGTATAGAAACAGTTGTGCTGCAGTAAAATGTTTTACTTAGTACTTAAACTTTTGTTTAGAATTAATGTCATCTGGTAAAATGTAAAATAATGTATATGTATAGCATGTAAATTGTTTGTAGTGAGCTATTCATACTTTCACCACGTTAATGGTAAAATTCCTAGATTAATAAAGAGAGGCTTACAAGAAATACGCGGGTGGGATTTGCTTATTATTCGTACAATTCTTTTTTGCAATCTAAAAGTCTTGGAGCTATAAGATACATTTCCCCAAAATATTATACCATATCTCAGGCGGGAATTCACAAAATATACACAACCAACAGTATGGAGGCTAACAAAATTTGAAAGGATTCTGACAGCGTAGCATAAGGAACTTAATCTAGTGTTCAATTCTTTTAAATGGTGCCATTGTCGCGTCTTGCTGCGGCAGATAAGCGTGCGTAGTGATAGGGAGAGAGGGTGAGTGAGGGAGCCATTGTCGCGTGTTGCAGCGGTAGGGCAGCGTGCGGAGTGAGAGGGAGGGAGAGTGAGTGAGGGAGCCATTGTCGCGTGTTGAAGTGGTAGGGCAGCGTGCGGAGTGAGAGGGAGGGAGAGTGAGTGAGGGAGCCATTGTCGTATGTTGCAGCGGAGGGCAGCGTGCGGAGTGAAGGGGGAAGTGAGAGTGACAGTGCCATTGTCGCGTGTGCCAGCGGCAGGGCAGCGTGAGGAGTGAGAGTGAGTGAGGGAGCCATTGTCGTGTGTTGCAGCGGCAGGGCAGCGTGCGGGGCGAGGACGTGCCCTACGTGCTGGGGCTGCCCCTCGTCAACGGGCAACCCTTCTTCCCGCACAACTACACGCGCCAGGACGCCGCCGTGTCACGCCTGCTCATCCACTACCTCGCCAACTTCGCGCGCAAGGGGTGAGTACGTTCGCGCGGCGCCGCTTCCCAAAGAGTTGGAAATGCCACTAGCAACCCCAGGGCTGCTCAAGTGCGAGGTTTCAGGCCGAACTGCCCGCGAGCGCCTGCTGCATGGACGTGCATGTCACTTCCCCTTTTTCTTGACAAGGTCCGATCGTTCCAAATCCCAATTCTCTTCCTCCTTTACCTATCCTTTCCTATTTATCAGCGTCGTAAGCGTTGCCTGCCCTTCCCTGTCCACCAGCTAACCGGTAGAATTGCTCAACCTCCTGGACACCACACCTCCCATGCCTCAGTGTTCAAGTTTTCTGTGAGTGTTTTGAGGTTCCAAGCCTGCTTGTGCGAAACTTTTATTCTCGTGTTTTACACCAGGGCTTCTTCACAGGACGATTTCGAGTCCACCGGGAATTTCCTGGGAACAGCCAATGGAAAAAATAGCATTTAAATGCATGAGTGAAATGTTTAACGAACGAGTGCAATTGCGCTTCCTTATATATTTTTATAAAAGGAAATTTACTTGTCTACTTTATTAAGTCAATTTACTTGTTTAATATAGTATGAACGTATTTATAATGCTTGGACAACAGCTGTTGCTTTGACGCATCTCATCGGGTAAATAGAATGCGAATAACAATACCAGCATGTTTTCTTTTCTTGGTTAACACATTGACTGTTACTACTAAAAACCCTTGACACTTGATTGGGTAACTATTCTCTGAACCACAGTTTGTCTGAGTCTACAGCCTCCTGCTGAATATCTCATAATTCAACATACTCATAGAAAAACATTGCCTCTGATAGACTAGTGGCTCACGTCGCGCATAGAGAGAAGAAAGCATGTGACACACGAGATGGCGCATGCAGATTGAAGTACAAACAATGGACAATGGGTCACGTAGTAGCACACGTAACGTGAGTAAAATATTACTATGACCCACATGTTCCTTGGCGACAGTCACGGGGGATGTAATTACACTTTTAGACAGGCACTAGTAAAAGCGGATAATTTCAGGGCATATTCAGATTACTAAGAGGTCCACTTTTAGACAGTTTCTAGTAAGAACTTTTACTTTCAAGGCAAGTAGTGCAAGCCAAACGTTCGATTTTAAGACAGCCATGTAATCGTGTGTAGTATGTTCTGTATCTGTATGGAGGAATACATTGTACATTGCATTCGGGGTGTTGCAATGATTTTCTTCCGTTAGTGTAATATATGACACTCGTGATAATATAAGAGACTTTATTTTGATCATAGAATTGCGCCACTCGGCCTTTCGGCCTCGTGTAACAGCATTTTCTACTCATAAAATAAAATGTAATGGTTACTACTGTCAATAACAACTCTTTTTTATTAATGACAATTTTTTTTTTTTTTTGGAATTTTCGGTATTTTTTCCCTGTAACACACGAAACAGACTTCGAAGGACGTAACATAACATACGAAGTATGTTTCCGCCCTTAAAAATCCACGGCTACGATCGGGTTTGAACCCGCAGACTTGGGCATAACAGCCCGTTACGCTAACGGTTACACCAAAGAAAGCACTTGTTTAACGCGAGATGTGGCAAATGCCTACATTCTGAAGGTGAGTATGTGGAAAAATAGAGCAGAATCTGCTGTATTGGCCGCAACATATGCATTGTGCTTTCTCTTTGCTGGATACCTAAGGGAACGTTCTTTCGGACACGCCTTGAACCCGCGCAGCTTGTTCAGAGCCCTTTGTGCATCTTGTACGGCTCGTCGCTGATGCGATGTTACGTCATGTGACAAGTTACGACTATTGTTCGAATGTGGATAAATAGCGAATTAGTTGAATAATGTTTACGTGATCCTAATGGGTGGATAAAATACAATGTAGGATTACACGTAAGCCTCACTGCCCTGAGGAAGCCTGCGACATGTCAGGTGAAACGTCGGCCTCCCAGCCATCGACGCGGCGTCTCACGGATAGCCGAGAATTTATGAAGGATTAGCTACGAAGTATACTTCGCTCTTCAGTCGGATAATGAGATCAATAGCCGATACGCGGAGGGGTAGCACGCACATTACTATGTCTAGGAGAATCATATAAAATGTTATAATCGTGAGTCAGACCCCTGGTAGAAAGTTTTCAGGACTAGTGAGACAAGGCGTGTAGTTTCCACTACGTCCATTTCCCCCAATACAACACAACCTGACCTCATTCAATATTTCAGTCGAAGCTACAAATTTCCTAGATGAGGTGACGGGGATTCGGCCTTAGCGATTTACATAAAATAATCTTGAGTCATTGCAACGAATAATTTCTGCACTAATTAATACATTTTATACCAAACTACTCTACATCGCGAACACTCACGATGTCCCACTCGTGCACCATCACCTTATTTTTTTAATACTATAATTATCCAATGATGTCCGAAATGAGCAGTCCACCGTCATTCATATAGTTTAATTCAAATAAAAATTCGCTAATGTACGAAATTACAGACTAATTTTCGAATGAGCTAGAAGGCGTGAGTGGAGAATAGGAGTGGGGGCAGACGGGGTGAAAGGTGTAACAGGTATTGCAGAGGCGGAGTGGTATTAACGGTCAGGGTTGGGGCCAGAATTGATGTTTACGGGCACTACGACTACTAGGGTCATTAGTTACGTTTATATAGTGGATATTTTACCTCGAGAGTTGGCGGGTTCCCCCTTCTCTGTATGTTGAGATCCGACGCCGCCCTACAGGTCAGATTGCCGGAGATTTCTCTCTCCAGCTACCTTCATCCCATGGCACACCGCCGCTGCCAGACCATGCTCTAAGTTCCCCACTAATCTCGTGACGTGTGGTAATGTAGTACCTGTATGTGTGTATAAGTAAGGGGAGAGGATAGGATGAAGATGAGAAAAGATATAACGCGGGTGATTTGTCGTCCATTTATTAGGGTACCGCCTTAGCATTCGGCTGGTATTAATTGGAAAAATCACGGAAACTACGAACCAATCTTGCCGGCCTCTAGAATTCTCCTGCAGAAAGCGACTTGATTGGTGGGACCAATGTATCAGAAATCCGTCACCGTCGAGACTCCAAACCCAGAATTTCCCTCTTGGAGCCGCTGCAGTAACAGGGGCATTGAGCTTAACCAAGCTGGTGCTGGGGTAGGAAAAAGGGGCGAGGTGTGTCCCATGGGAGCGCGTGGCGAGGAGGGAGGACGGGTGGGGGCAGGGGGGGTGGAAGGATAGTAGAAAATGTTCTAGGTGGGACGCGGGAGCAAAGGGGGGGCAGAGGTGTGGCAGCCGCGGTGACCCACGCGGTGATGAAAGCCTCTATTGATGTACGCCGGTGACGTTTGCGGGGCATTCACACGCTCACTAGCCAAGACCCACGTCGCCACCGGCCCGCCCCGCCACATTTACGGGCCTCCCTTTCGGAAGTTGATTAAACCAGGGCGATGTTCACCATTAGTTTCGTGCATCTACGTTTCACAGGGGGACTGGCGTGCGTGATGGATAGAAAATCCCTTTCTAATAAAGTGCTTTCTTTTCAAGCCAATCGCCGAGAGGCATGCGGTCAATGGCGCTCGCGAGAGACCTATATTTCTTGACGGCCAGCGAACAGCTTAAAAAAAAAAACTTTTGCTCAACAAATGTACAGAAAACGTATTTTAAACTGATTCAATAATGTGTCAAAAATGAACAATCGAAGTTCATAAAAAGGAAAAGTTGTTATACGCATTTAGTTCGCGGAAGACACTACAGTTTGGAGTTGTGCGATTTTGTAATAGTTTACGTTATCACATACTAAAAACAGAAGAGATCCCTTTTTCAGAGAATTATTAAGACAAAAGGACTACTTGTATTTAATTTAAAATGCCGCTTCTATGACTTGAAGCGTATTTAGTAAATGTGTGTTTTTTTCTATGAAATTTGTTTAAAATCAACCACCAGATATAGAAACTATTAAATTCTTTCCTTCATGCTTGTTGGCTCACGTTAATATGATTCACTTTTTAAGACTCTATTTACTAAAAAGCCGTACCAAGTTCAGCTGATTTTTCCATCCAAAATTGATATTCCTCTTTTGCTTTGGCTCATGTCGCGACCTTTCAATATATTAAATTCAATGAATTAAATTTTTTTTGTTGAAGCCGTGTAAAGGGTTGTTTAAGAGAATAGGGTAAAGGTCTATGTTTCTCCAACAATTATCGAAAATAAGATTTCTTGATAGCTTTTAATTGAGTTTTATCATTATTTTTCTATATTTTGTTTCTTAAAGATAGATTTTGAAATATATTGTGAGTAGTGAAATAAGAAATAATTCAATAAAAATAAAACTAAGTATAAATTCAAAGATATATAGATACAGAGTTACAATGATTGCTAATTTTACAACACTAAGAGCACCTATGATATACTTCAGAATGCTTTACGAGAATACAAGCCAGCGTGATGGCCGCCGGTCGGACCTTGTCACGTGAACAATTAGCTACATGGCCTGACGCAAAAGTTAACGCCGGTCGTGGCGAACGGTGTGCTACAGAGTGAGATTCGTCTGGCCTTATCTCCGGATCTCGCCTACTGTCCAACCTCTTGTACAAGTAACGTACAAGCTACCGATGCAAATGAATGAAGAACGCGGGCGAGATGGCGCGCGTTAAAATAGTTGAGGCTGACCCCCACACTGGTTCATAGATAGACTCGGCACTGGCGGAGCTCGCCCAGCCAGCCTTTTTGGTTTACGCCCACACAAGAGAATTCTCAGAGTTGGCTGCTGATTCCGGTATGAGGCAACGCTAGTCCTCTCCGGAGTTTACACCCACGGTATTTTTGTGGTCCCTGGCGGCTCTTACATGAGTCAACGCAGAGCTGAAACCCTCCGGATGTTCCAGGCTTACCCTCTTCTCCCCGCAGCGTTTTTCACCAACTAACGGTTTGGCCCTCCGTGTTAGACGCCAAGACCTCCATGCTCGGGGTGAATTTTTTTTCGGCAGAAAATGTGCACAGGAAAAATTCTGCTAATAATTAACCCTGGTGTTGACT